GGCTCCAGGCTCTGAGCCGTCAGCACAGAGCCTGACCTGGGGCTCGAACTCACGGACCACTAGATCATGACCTGAGCTGAAGTCAGATGCTTAACTGACTGAGCCACCCAGGCGCCCCAGTTTTGTTTTGTTTTTAAAGTGAATTCAATGATTTCCAGAATCCAGGCATACACTCTTTATGTAACTCCTTTTAAAATTTCAGCGTGCCAGAACATTCTTCCTCAGAGCGCTCAGACCTGCGATCTTTGGTGATATTTTGTAGAGACGGTCCGTGACTACGAGCACCAGTTTCACCTGCGGCTGGAGCAGGAGCGAAGCCAGTGGGCACAGTACCGGGAGTCCGCGGAGAGGGAGATAGCGGATTTAAGGAGAAGGCTGTCGGAAGGTCAAGAGGAGGAGAATCTAGAAAACGAAATGAAAAAGGTATGAGGAACGTATTCACCTGTAGGAATATTCGAATTCGAAGGCAGGATGCCTCCACCCGCATTACTGTGGCCATAGGCGGACTTTCCTGGTTTCTGTTTGGGGGATTGTTTGGACACACACGTAAATGTAGCGCTGGATAGCCTGACTCCCTGACCCCAGACGTGTGCGTGGCTGACCTCCCTGCCCCTTCTTCACATCCCGAAACAAATGTCTTCACTGCAGGAGGCCTGTCCTGACCACCCCATTCAGCACAACAGCCTGCCTTCCTCCCCCCTGCACCTGCCACCGCTCCGCCCATCGCCATATCCTGCGGTGCTTTGTCCTTTCCTACAGCACACACAGAGTTCACCTGTTGATCATGCCTTCCCTTCCTTGCCAGAACGTGAGCTCCGTGAGCCAGGACCCTCGTTTGTTTGCGTGTCCTGCGTGCTCACGGTAGTGTTTAGCACACAGGGGCTCATAAATATTTATCGGAGGAGTGTGGCCGCCAGGTGAGTGTGTCTAAGCCGGACCTTCAGGACAGATGTTGATTTTCCGTCTCTCTCAGTATCCCTGGGTTCCCGTGAGACAAATGTACCGCATATTATGCTGGAACATAGCAAGATGCCTGAACATAGGGCGGTGGAGAAGGTGGAGTATTTTTTCATGAAGAAAATAGTGAAAGCTCTTTGGCCAGTTTAATTATATAAACTTGTAGGCTACTGATGTGTGTACATACTTCTATTTTAAATCACACATTATATATACAATTATAACTAGATTTTGACTTTATCTTTCATTCGTATTAATCATCATCTTTGGTTCCCAACCCTCGGTCCACAGAGGACTATTTTTGTGTATTTAGAAGGTGATTTAGTTTTCATAATAACCTAAAAATCATCTGAGAACCCAATACCCAAAAAAGAAGCTTTAAACACGAAGAACCGTTTCTTCCACTCCATTTTATTCCAGGAGAAGACTTTAATTCAGCATCTTCACGAGGATCCGACATCTTCCTCACCACTAGAGTCACTTAGCCATCTAACAGAGTTGTCCACAGTCCCCTCCCTCAGGTTGTTGGGAGATAGTTCCTGTTCGATGCTGTCGTTGGAGATTCCGGTCCAGGCCGTGACAGGAGATCCTTGTTTCCAGTTGTTCATGATTTTTCACAACGTGCCACTTCTTGTTGCTTTTAAAATTTATTTTTATTTTTAAAATAAACTTGGCGCACCTGGGTGGCTCAGTCAGTTTAGTGTCTGACTCTTGGTTTTGGCTCAGGTCACGATCTCACGGTTCATGGGATTGAGCCCCTTGTCAGGCTCTGTGCTAACAGCGTGGAGCCTGCTTGGGATTCTCTTTCTCCCTCTCTGCCCCTCTTCTGCTTGGGCGTGTACGTGCGTGTTCTCTCTCAAAATAAGTAAACCTTAAAAAAAAAAAAATAAACTAAAGTTTATTTTTTAGAACAGTTTTTGATTTACGGAGTCAGATTGCGTAGATAGTACAGAGTTCCCGTGTGGTCCACGTCTAGTTTTCCCAGTTACTAGTATCTCACGTTGGTGTGGTACGTCGTCACAACTAGTAAACCAGGATTGAGTGTGATGAGCTAACGTCCGTTCATTGTATTCAGATTTCATTAGTTTTTACCTGATGCCCTGGCTCACTATTTTTAAGATCTCATGCAGGCACCACATTGCAGGATGCCACGTGTCTCTTTAGGCTCCTCTTGGCCCAAATTTTCCTTGTTGTTGTTTTAAAGAATAAATCTGATGAGGTGACTAATAAAATGCAACACCCAGGCATAAAAACAATCCTAAGGAAATTCATAGAAGGCAAGTAAGTTCCCTATCTCATTGTTTATCAAAAATGAAAATGTAAATACCGTAATTGCTACAGAACTGTTTCCCTGGAAGATGAAACACACGAGGATGCTGGCTGTTACAGCGTCTGTTCAATAGGACACCGAAGGTATGGCCTTGGCAGTAAAGCAATAGGAGAGAAGTAAGTCATAGGATCAACTTTTAATCCATAAAATCTTTATATGCGGATGACACTTTTTTGTTGTTGTTCTGCTTGTTTTTATTTTGCTTCCAGTACAGTTGGCCTATGTGTTGTATCAGTTGCAGGTGTCTGGTACGGCGAGTCAACACTTCCATATGTCACCCGGTGCTCATCATGACAGATGCACTCCTTAATAAATTTTCCTTGTTTTTTGTTTTTTTTGTTTTTGTATTTTTCTTTCTTGAGACAGCGCGTGTGCAGGTGCGTGTGGGGGAGGGGCAGACAGGGAGAGAGAGAGAGAATCTTAAGCAGGCTCTGTCCGTGCCCGTGTGGAGCCCGAGGCAGGGCTCAATTCCATGACCGTGAGATCATGACCTGAGCCGAACTCAAGAGTCAGATGTTCAACCGACTGAGCCTCCCAGGCACCCCAGAGTTTCCGTGTTTTTAATGACCTTTCTGTCATTTAAAAAAAAAAATCATCTTTATAAGTTTTGTTTATAATGATATGCAACACTTAGTTGTGGGGTCATCGTTGCGTCATTAAATAATTCAGTCTATGTTAAATTCTCTGCTTCTTCCCTCCTTTTTTCCCCCCTGCTGTTTTTTATCAGCACAGCAGATCTGTTAACCTAGACAGAAGATAATTTAAGCTCACATGCCTTTTCTAAACAGTACTTAGTTAAAAATAAAATAAATGATTCAATGACTTTTTAAGGACTGGAAAACAAAGTGAATCCCTCTTTTCTGAGAGAGATGTGTCTTGGGGAAAAGCCCCACTCATATTTGGGCATAAATGATATTTTCCCTATCGTGAACAATTGAGGATCAATTTGAGCTCTTTAAGTTTAGGGAATAAGGTTAAATTTCATGTTCACTAAGAAGGGAAAAAGCTAACTTTTTAAGTCTGCCTTTGTGTATATATATACACACAGGTGTACACATACATACACACATATACACCTGTATATACACACACACGCATATGCACACACCACACACATGTATGCACACATATGTGTGCACGCACAAACACGTACCTATACACACGTGTATACACACACCCACATGCATATGCACGCATACATACACAATATACACATATGTGACGTATACAATATATGTATAATAAAAGTTTCTCACCAGTTTACTAATTTTCGGATGTTATTTTTTTTTTTTTTTTT